TGGTGTGATCTCGGCTCACTGCAACCTCTGCCTCCTGGGTTCAAGAGATTCTCCTGCCTCAGCCTCCCAGGTAGCTGGGATTGCAGGCATGCACCACCACACCTGGCTAATTTTGTATTTTTGGTAGAGAAGGGATTTTTCCACGTTGGTCAGGCTGGTCTCGAACTCTTGACCTCAGGTGATCCACCCACCTCGGCCTCCCAAAGTGCTGGGATTATAGGCATGAGCCACTGAGCCCGACCAACATAAGGTTTATTGAGGGGATTTATATACAGGGCAGTCCAGTGGTGGCGGCTGGACAGGAGAGCCACCTCTGCTTGTAAAGAGCACGCAGTTTATCGAGCATATTCGCTTAGCACTCTCGCCCTAAGGACCTCTTCCTGGCAATCTTCATTTAACCCATAACAAAAGGCCTCAATCCCTGTACAGCCTGCATGCCACGAGGTAAGGGGGGGCAGTTCCAGTGTTCCTCGTAGATAAGAAATGAATCTCTGGGTTGGCCACTTTCCATAGCTGGGAACCCCACTGCACATTCACCATAGACTGTAAGATCATTCTCAGTGTATGCTCCAGTTACGCTATCGCTGTCAGTGCGTCTGCCACACACGTGGGTCTCACTGACTTAAAGTCAGCATCTTGGAAGGGCTGATTCCTTCTGGGCTCCAGGGGAGAATCCTTTTTCTTGCCTTTTCCAGGTCCTAGAGGCTGCCCATACCCCTCAGCTGGTGGGCTTTTCCTCCATCTTCAAAGCTAGCAGCATAGTAACATGAAATGGAGTCTCACTCTGTTGCCCAGGCTGGAGTGCCATGGTGCGATCTTGGCTCACTGCAACTTCTGCTTCCTGGGTTCAAGTGATTCTCCTGCCTCAGCCTCTTGAGTAGCTTGGACTAAAGGCGACTGTCACCATGCCCAGCTAATTTTTGTATTTTTAGTAGAGATGAGGTTTCACCATAACGGTCAGGCTGGTCTTGAACTCCTGACCTCATGATCTGCCCGCCTTGGCCTCCCAAAGTGCTGGGATTACGGGCATGAGCCACCGCGACCAGCCAACATTTTTGTATCTTCCTCTGACAGATTCTTCTGCTTCCTTCTTCCACTTGTAAGGATCCTTGCAATGACATGGGCTTGTCTGGATAAGCAAGGCTCGCCCACCATCTCTAGGTCAGCTGATGAGCAACCTTCATTCCATCTGCAACCTTCATTCTCTTTTACCAAGAAGGTCAGATACGAGTTCCGCAGATTCGAACTTGGAAATCTTTGGAGGGCCGCTTTTCTGCTGACCATAGGCAGCCAGGCCCCAACTGGCCTTTCTGGCCTCCAAGAGTAAGACCATACCTGGTTCCCTCTGAAATCCACAGAAGCAGCAGAAAAAGATGCGGTCAGTGAACCCTCACTCTGGGACTGACGTTCAGTTCTGGACCCTCAGTGGGGCTGAGACCTGGGATCCCGTGGATGCAGGCTGGGGGCTCCGAAAAGCACTGGGAGCTGCCCCTATCAGTCCTGGGGTCAGGGGACGCCTCTGCTGGCACTGCCTTCCCAGACAGCTGCCCATGCCACCCTGCCTGGTCCCTTCTGGGGCCTGGTTCTCAGGCCTGTACATCCCAGGGAGACGAGGATGAGGCTTGGGCTCTTGTGGGGAAAACTTCCCCTTCACCCTATTGTGGTTCCTCTAACACAGCGGGGAACTTTGACCAGGCCTGAGAATAAGGGAAGATACTCAACCAGCTTACCTACTCCCAGCTGGCTGCCTGGAACCCCTTGGAGTTGGACCATAAGATGCTGAACTGGTTACCCTCTAGCTGAGCACTTAACCTGTGTGAGCCTCAGTTTCCCCCTCCATAAAATGGGCAAAAAAAACCTTCCTGCCTCATAGAGCTTGCATGGGGATGAAATAGGGTAACTCATAAGACATACTCAGGGTTAACAGCACAGTGCATGGTGCATAGTAAGTGCTCAGTAAATGACGACTCTTGTTACATATCACCCCCCAGGCCTTCCTCAAGCATCTGCTGTGTAGAGCCCTCCTAATCCTCACTCTTTCATAGATGATAAAGACCCTTTGAGACCCAGAGGTGAGACGAGGGAGGTAGGGAAGGGACAGCTGTCCTGGCTACTCTCATATCATACCCTGCTTGTCTCAGCTGCGTGGGACTGGCCCAGGTGGAGGCTCCTGCCCAGACAGGAAGCCCATAAGAAAGCCTGTCTTGCTTTACAGGCTCTGGGCGGCCCTGACTCATGCTTTCTTCGGAATTTGGAATGAGTAGCTGCAGGGCTTTGCCCAACCCTGTGGCCTCCTGTGGCTTCCAGTAGCCCAGGAAGGAGGGCCCTGGGTCCCTGGGTGAGGATGGCAGGAAAGGAATTCTGGATGGCTGGACAGAGTCCGTGGGACCTGTCACTTCCTACAAAGCCACCGTCATCCCAAGTCCCCTCCGGCATAATGAGGGTGAGTGCCAGCATTGTGCCCGCAGGCACTGAAGGCTTCCTGAGCACCGTCTGATATACCCTCGCAGCATGCCAGCAGGCAGCTATTGTTAATGCTTTCACTTTATAGACAGGGAAACTGAGGCACAGCCACGTGAAAGAGCTTGCCGCAGTCACAGAGCTTTTAAGTGGAGGAGACGAATTTGAGCCTAGACACGTGACCTCTGTACCCTGGGTTCTTAACCAGTGACACCAGTGGTTCTCAACCCATCTACACATTAGAATCACCTGGAAGGCTGCTACAAACTAGCCGGGCTAGGCCCCCACCCTCAGGCATTCTGTCTGGACATGGGGATGTTACACAGAGTAACTCGGTGACTCAGGTGTGTAGCCAGGACTCCGCAACAGTGACTTTCGTGGGAAGACTCATATGTCCTTCTAAGCATCTCTGGCTGCCCCTCCCTGGCTCAATCCCCAACCTCTTAGAATCAGCAATTTCCAGGGGCCGTGGTCTCCTTTTTCTGGTAGTCACTTGGACTTTGGTGGCACCTCCAACAACCGGACGGTTCTTGCTACGTTCAGTTTTCTTGATGGGCCAGTGGTTCATAAACACAGCATACACAAGACTTCCCCAAAGAGCACGTTGAAAAAATACAGATTCCTGGGTTCCTCTTCAGCCAGGCCTCCTGAGGCCAAATCCCCAAGCCAGGCATCTGCACGTGGTAAAGCTTCCCAGATGGTTCTGGTGCATGCCTCAGCTAAAGGGCCCAACTATTTCTTGTTCATCATGGGGAAAAAAAATCTAGAAATAGTGAATGTTTATTGAGGGTGTATGTTTATTATGTTGTTTTCCACACCTTGGACTGTTACTCCATCATTTAAAAAGAATTTAACAGGAGATAACCCAGTTGACCTGGAGGGATTTTTATACCGTTTTTTTTTTTTTT